AGAGAGAGAGAGAGAGAATATGCCAGCGACGAGATAACAAAGATCTCGTTCTTTTAAACGGTGATAAATTACTGGCGATAAGGTACGATAAATAAAGATGTCGGTCTTTCGTGCCTCGGCAAAAGATCGAGGCGGCAGATACGGACACGAGCCGCGAGGGTAGGTCTGATTGCGAGCGTCGACGATCGCGGCGTGGTGCCGCGTATCGGCGCAACGCACACTTGGGTACGCGCAAAAAGGGTACGCGCCGTGCGTACTCGTGTCCGCCAGGTGCGTAATCATTTCTAATGAAACGTTGTCATTTAACAGTGCGATTGTAAGAGCGTAGAAACGTGTTTTCACTTGCGCGAAAAACGGCGACCGTTAATGCAGCGGTAAAGACGCTTCTCCCGTTATGGCGCGTTGCGAGCGCGGGATATACGTAGGAAACACCTTGCTCGTTTGCTCGCTCGCTCGCTCGCTCGCTCGCTCGCTCGTGTAACGTCTAGGATTTTCTACAGCCACGAGCCGATTCATTGCGAAAACGCGTAGCATCCCTTAGTTTTTTAGAAATGTTTGAAATAAAGACGTTACAATTACGCGGTCCATTGGAAACGATGGAATAGTGATTGGAATAGATATTCGAGTGGACGATGAATAACCCGCTTTTTTATATCATTAGTTATTCTAAAAATTCTTGTTTTATTATAAATTTTAAGAATTTTAAGAATCACCAAATAAATATAATAAATAATATTATATTTATTATATTTATTTCAATAGTAATTTACACGTATTAATTCTGTTTTTGTTTTTAATTATTGCAACTTTATTTCATAGCATTGGACAAAAAGTGCATTTCCAAAGCATACACGTTCGACACATTCATGGTGTCGTTAATTGAATTAAAAGTATCAATAATAGTGTCGTGTTATTAAAGTAAATAGCAAAAGTGATAATAAATTTAATTATCGTGATCGAGCCTCTCCAAACCATTCAATTCATTAGATACGGTCGTGAAAACCAGTCAAACGTCAAAACAACATCCAAACAGCATCATCGTTACGAATATTTACTGATGTAATTTCGCCAAACGGCATACGCGAAAAAGGTAATAATGGCACTCGCAGTTGTCTGCGCTCGGTGGAGGAAATAAGTGGAGACACGAGATAAAAGCTATATATATATATATATGTGTGTGTGTGTGTGTGTGTGTGTGTGTGTGTGTGTGTGTGTGTGTTATA